CGCTTGGCTCCTCTTTCTGCCAGAGTCAGCCCTTTTGTCAACCCCGTTACTCTGTAAGCTATCCGTGACGTGTCTATCGGCCCAGGGAGACAGATGTGTATACACACTCCCTCACCAAACACGCCCGCTCTGTCCCCTTTGATTACACAGGGAAGAAAAAACACAATGCGTCTAAAGACTGAAGAGATGGCTAACAGGAATGACAACTTAGACGTCAGCCCACCTTAGAGTGTGTTAAGACACAAGTGGACTGACTGACATGGCTATGGAGTAAAACCATCAATGGTTCAACTCTGTCAGGGGATTAAGCCGGGAGGACAAACTGTACTGTAGTGAGCCCACGGAGTCGGCGGTTTCATCTAATTTCATTCGCCTTCTCCTTTCCTCTTGTTGTGAGTGACCTCATTATTTCTCTATGAACTTCCCAGGCAGCTTCACACAGTGTGGATGACAGCTGCAAGGGAGCAGGCGGGATCACAGCCTTTTGAAACGGAGATAATCTTACTTTGTAGATGACAACAACTGACAGAAAGAGAGAGAGTAAAGAGTACTATAGCTAAGCCTCAAAGGGGAGGGGCGAAGGATGGGAGTATAGTGTGTGTGTGTGTGTGTGTGTATTCGTGTTTTCTCTTTGGTGTAAAGGTTCAAGTTGGTGAGCTCATTCACTACTCCTAAATGAAAGGGGGACTGAGGCATGTTTGATGGCCCTGAGCTGGAGACCTAACTGGTCTGAACTAAATGACATGTCAGTAAGACATAGTGGACATCCAGTATAGCAGGATAGTCCAGAATGACCAATCATTCAATACTAAACAGGTAGTGGCAGAACAAACCTCTGCCCTCTGAGCATAGAGCTGGTGCAGAGAGGAACTTTTGTTTTACCCCTGACACCCAGTTCAGCAAATCATGTTTATAAATGAAAGTTATTATAAAGTCTTACCAACATTTTTGATTGAATATTTAAAGTGGGCCCACACTTACCTCCCTATCTGTGGAGCTGAACGGCCCACATCCAACTCTGACCATGGGAGGCCCACATGCCAAGGCTTGCAGGGCAGGGCCAGGCCAGACATTGGTGGTGAAACAAACTGGTGCTAGACTAAGCTAAAGTGTGTGTTTGCTTGTGATGTCTGCCCAGCACTGGCACTGCATCCTGTCTGTGGCATTCTCCCTGACAAGGACAGATGGATGAGGTGGCCGCAGACAGAGGAGAGAAGAAAGAAGAGAAGAGAGGAGAGAAGAAGAGCCACTCCACATCAAGGACCTACCGCTCAAGCCAAACAAACACACGTTGTGATGCATCACTTCCTAACGTTGACCCAACGTTGGGCAACAGGTCTGTGAGGTAGACAGGGACAATAGAGCAAAGATAGGACTATGATGAGCAATAGTGCGGTTGGGGTTCAAAATATTTAGCCACATGTTGTGTTCTCTCCTAAAGGGGAGAGGGAGAAACCTGGCTAGGCGTCTAGATGGATCTGAGGTACGGACATTTCAAAGAGAATACCAGAAAAGGTGAGACAAAGCAGGACCAGACACAAAGAGTAACAGGAGAGAATTACATTGAGGCAGCAGACAGCTGGTAGTTTCAGCCACTGCAACCAAACATCCCTCTCTAAACTCTGTCTATGTTCCACAGTGCAGAGAGCACAGCCATACATCTTAACTCTGTCTATGTTCCACAGTGCAGAGAGCACAGCCACACATCTTAACTCTGTCTATGTTCCACAGTGTAGGGAGCACAGCCACACATCTAAACTCTGTCTATGTTCCACAGTGTAGGGAGCACAGCCACACAGCTTAACTCTGTCTATGTTCCACAGTGCAGAGAGCACAGCCACACAGCTTAACTCTGTCTATGTTCCACAGTGCAGAGAGCACAGACACCTGTTGATCTATTATAGATGATGCTGGTGGTAGTGGAGGCTAGGGGAGCGTTGCCAAGCACATCGCCTCTTATCATTATCACTAGCGCAACACAGAGCAGAGCAGAGCAAGGCTTCATGTCCCCGTCTGATACAGGGGAGAGAGCGAGATAATCATCAGCTTCATCAAAAAAGAGAGAGAACCGTACAGGTGGAGGGGGAGAGAGAGAGAGGAGAGAGAGAGAGAGGGAGAGAGAAATAATAAATAAATAAATAAGGGATTGAAAGACATCAGTGTACTGCTTATCTCTCCCAGGTCCAGGACTCTCCAGACACAGGAGATAAGACAGGAGCACATCTAAAGACTTTCAATCTCCCTCTCCTACTACCTCTCTCCTCATCATCCTCCTCCTCCTTCTCCTCTAGCCCTCATCTCACTGCTCTCTGACTGTATCCCTGTGGTTTGATAGACACTGCAGCTGTGTAGGTGCTAGTCAGTATTTGTGGGTCAGTGTGACAGGCAACGTGTAGTGTACTGGGCAAGGGGTACTCTCTCATCCAATGGTGGTATATTTCATATAACCAGCATGGAACTGGCTGTGACTGCAATATGCTTCTCAGGCCTCTAGGGGTCCCCCTTTGCTTCAAATAAGCAGGAATTGCTGCGGGGACTTGCTTCCATCCATTCCATCGTGCACTGATGTTGGGCGATTAGGCCTGGCTCGCAGTCAGCGTTCCAATTCATCCCAAAGGTGTTCGATGGGGTTGAGGTCAGGGCTCTGTGCAAGCCAGTCAAGTTCTTCTACACCGATCTCGACAAACCATTTCTGTATGGACCTCGCTTTGTGCACTGGGCATTGTCATGCTAAAACAGGAAAGGGCCTTCCCCAAACTGTTGCCACAAAGTTGGAAGCACAGAATCGTCTAGAATTTTATTGTCTATAAGATTTCCCTTCACTGGAACTAAGGGGCCTAGCCCGAACCATGAAAAACCTCCCTAGACCATTATTCCTCCTCCACCAAACTTTACAGTTGGCACTATGCAATCGGGCAGGTAGCGTTCTCCTGGCATCCGCCAAACCCAGATTTGTCCGTCGGACTGCCAGATGGTCAAGTGTGATTCATCACTCCAGAGAACGCGTTTCCACTGCTCCAGAGTCCAATGGCGGCTAGCTTTACACCACTCCAGCCGACGCTTGGCATTGATCTTAGGCTTGGCTGATCGGCCATGGAAACCCATTTCATGAAACTCCCGACGCACAGTTCTTGTGCTGACGTTGCTTCCAGAGACAGTTTGGAACTCGGTAGTGAGTGTTGCAAGCACTGTGAGCACCGTTCTGTATGGCCTTCCACTTCCCAGCTGAGCCGTTGTTGCTCCTAGACTTTTCCACTTCACAATAACAGCACTTACAGTTGACCAGGCAGCTCTAGCAGGGCAGACATTTGATGAACTGACTAGTTGGAAAGGTGGCATCCTATGTCACTGAGCTCTTCAGTACGGGCCATTTGACTGCCATGTTTGTCTATAGAGATTGCATGGCTGTGTGCCTGATTTTATACACCTGTTAGCAACGGGTGTGGGTGAATTAGCCGTAGCCACTAATTTGAAGGGGTGTCCACATACTTTTGTATATATAGCACAGGAGGTTGGTGGCACCTTAATTCGGGAGGACATGCTCGTTGTAATGGCTGGAGCGGAATAGGTGGAATGGTCTTAAATACATCAAACACATGGTTTCCATGTGTTTGATGCCATTTCATTTGCTCTGTTCCAGCCATTTTTCTGAAATGTCCTCCCCTCAGCAGCCTCCACTGATATATAGTGTATGTTATGCAGCACAAACATGCTTATCTGACTAGAATATGGAATCACGTTGGCTCTATTCATGGCATTTCTATCTGCCACGTTCAACAACGTTTGGCTACTAAACGTGGCCCTGGCAGACATACCCCCAGGTTCCAGCTGTTGAGGCGAGCCTCCAGGTCACTGTCGTCAGGAGACGGCACCACTGGCTTCCTGTGGCCATCCACCTAGGGACCAAAGAGAATAGGTGATACTGAGTGTGGGACAACAAGTGCACATACTGTTTAGTAGGGTGTGTTGTATTCTTAACAGCCAGCCCCACCCAACTGCTTCTCCAACCCTTCTTTACTATACTCTCCTCCCCTCCCTGTCTTTCTCCACTCCCTCCTCTCTCCTTTCCTCCATTCTCCTACCTTACTCTCCTCTTCCCCTCCTCTTCCCCTCCTCTTCCCCTCCCTCTCCTCTTCCCCCTCCTCTTCCCTCCTCTCCCTTCCCCTCCCTCTCCTCTTCCCCTCCCTCCTCCTCTTCCCCTCCTCTCCCTCCCCTCTCCTCCCCACACCAGATGTTTGGCCGTTCCAGACCATTTCCGTCCCCGTCCTGTCCCCCTGCAGTCTAAATTCCAGTCCAGGGGTCACAACGCTCTCCCCTCTGTTGTTTTGCTCAGTCTTTTGTTACAGGGCGTCCCAGTCCTGAAACGCTGTTATATAATGTGAACATTACACAAACATTTCCAGGGTGCTGCTGTTGATTCAGGATCAGGTGTTATGAACATTTTGTATATACGTTATAATGTGAACATTTCCAGGGTGCTGTTGTTTTAGGGTCAGGTTTTACCTGGGGTTGGGGCTTGGCGAGAGTGAAATATCTAAGAAAGATAAATATCTAATACATTCGAGAACTGTAGTCATTTTTTAAACCCGATTGAAATCAGGTGGAGTGGACCTCTCCCTCTCTCTTTGTCTCTCGTAACAGAACTAGGCACAGTGCAAAGTTAACACCTCGAATTACACAGACAAATGATGGAGAAGAAATACCAGGCTGATTAAAATGGTCATAGTCCTGATTCATCGCCTGTAAATGTCACCCACAGTGTTTATTGTCATTGATATTGAGGTATGCCAAGTAGTGTCACGTACGGTGAGTGTAATGGCATACTCTCTGTACCGCAGCCATTCAACCTACTGTGTGGAAATACTATCAATGGTATGATATGATGGAGAATGTCATTACAGAATAGAATATGTCCTGCCTGAAATGTAAAACTCCCTAACTAAGACAAAATAGGGTAAATGTAAATTAGTTGCCAAATAGTGACAAGACGTGACAGAGTGTTATAGAGTGCTGCTGACCCCTTTGTTGTGGTCTTCGGAAGAGCGTTTGACTGGGCTGGAGGCCAGGGGCCGAGATGGAGACTTCTCCTCATTTAGCCGTCTTCTCCTGGAGAGAGAGGGAGGGAGAAAGAGACAAAGAGAACATGAGAAGAGAGGGTGGGGAGGGAATTATAGAGAGAGGGGGAGGGAGAGAAGAGGAAAGAGAAGCGAGAGAGAAGAAAGAGAGAGATAGAGAAGAGAGGAAGAGCTGAGAGAGGAGAGTATCTATAGAGAGGAGAAGATAGGATGGAGAAACAAAAGATAGATGATTAGCGCAGATGATTTACATTAGGAACATACATTAGGAAAGATTGAAGAGAACAACTAAATACAAAGATCTGAGTGTTCATGTATCACTGGTTATATTACAGGCAATAGCTTCACTCAATCACTGGCTTACATTATGTCTATCAATATCATGTGTAACTCATCAAATGTGAGTCATGCTGTACAGATGTAGGATCTTTATACTTTGACCTGTATTGTCTCAGCAAAATAATACTGCAGCAACATGATTGGAACGTTTAGTCCATAATGTTGCTTGATCGGTGGTTAGGCTATTAGCTGGTTAGGTTATTTCCTGCGGTGCAGGAAAATTCTGAGCAACAAAAGAGTGATCAAATTAAGATCCTACATCTGTACTTGGCTCATTTCTGATGCAGCTATGCTTTTAGCTCAACGTTTTACTCTCTTCAACAAACTAACACCCTTGCCTCTCGCACTTGACTTTTTCCTACTAGCACTGGCTTTGCTGATAGCTACTTTATTGAGGAAAAATGTAATACTATGACTGAGATGTAATACTAAATGACTAAAATGTTCTATCAAAAACATCCACATGAACCATTTCACCCAACAGTGTGTGTGAATCGATGATGTAGTCCCCACAGTGACCGTACGTACATACCCCAACCAGAAGCCATGGATTACAGGAAACATCCGCACTGAGCTAAAGGGTAGAGCTGCCGCTTTCAAGGAACGGGACTCTAACCCGGACGCTTATAAGAAATCCCGCTATGACCTCCGACGAACCATCAAACAGGCAAAGAGTCAATATAGGACTAAGATTGAATCGTACTACACTGGCTCTGACGCTCGTCGGATGTGTCAGGGCTCGAAAACTTTTACAGACTACAAAGGGAAGCACAGCCGCGAGCTGCCCAGTGACACAAGCCTACCAGACGAGCTAAACCACTTCTATGCTCGCTTCGAGGCAAGCAACACTGAAGCATGCATGAGAGCACCAGCTGTTCCGGATGACTATGTGATCACGCTCTCCGTAGCCTGATGTGAGTAAGACTTTTAAGCAGGTCAACATTCACAAGGTCGCAGGGCCAGACGGATTACCAGGACGTGTACTCCGAGCATGTGCTGACCAACTGGCAAGTGTCTTCACTGACATTTTCAACATGTCCCTGACTGAGTCTGTAATACCAACATGTTTCAAGCAGACCACCATAGTCCCCGTGCCCAAGGACTTTAAGATAACCTGCCTAAATGACTACCGACCCGTAGCACTGACGTCTGTAGCCATGAAGTGCTTTGAAAGGCTGGTCATGGCTCACATCAACAGCATTATCCCAGAAACCCTAGACCCACTCCAATTTGCATACCGCCCCAACAGATCCACAGATGATGCAATCTCTATTGCACTCCACACTGCCCTTTCCCACCTGGACAAGAGGAACACCTACGTGAGAATGCTATTCATTGACTACAGCTCAGCATTCAACACCATAGTGCCCTCTAAGCTCATCACTAAGCTAAGGATCCTGGGACTAAACACCTCCCTCTGCAACTGGATCTTGGACTTCCTGACGGGCCGCCCCCAGGTGGTAAGGGTAGGTAACAACACATCTGCCACACTGATCCTCAACACGGGGGCCCCTCAGAGGTGCGTGCTCAGTCCCCTCCTGTACTCTCTGTTCCCCCATGACTGCATGGCCAGGCACGACTCCAACACCATCATTAAGTTTGCCGACGACACAACAGTGGTAGGCCTGATCACCGACAACGATGAGACAGCCTATAGGGAGGAGGTCAGAGACCTGGCAGTGTTGTGACAGGACAACAACCTCTCCCTCAACGTGAGCAAGACAAAGGAGCTGATCGTAGACTACAGGAAAAGGAGGGCCTAGCAAGCCCCCATTCACATCGACGGGGCTGTAGTGGAACAGGTTGAGAGCTTCAAGTTCCTTGGTATCCACATCACCAACGAACTATCATGGTCCAAACACACCAAGACAGTCGTGAAGAGGGCACGACAAAGCCTATTCCCCCTCAGGAGACTGAAAAGATTTGGCATGGGTCCTCAGATCCTCAAAGAATTCTACAGCTGCACCATCGAGAGCATCCTGACTGGTTGCATCACCGCCTGGTATGGCAACTGCTTGGCCTCCGACCGCAAGGCACTACAGAGGGTAGTGCGTACGGCCCAGTACATCACTGGGGCCAAGCTTCCTGCCATCCAGGACCTCTATACCAGGCGGTGTCAGAGGAAGGCCCTCAAAATTGTCAAAGACTCCAGCCACCCTAGTCATAGACTGTTCTCTCTGCTACCGCACGGCAAGCGGTACCGGAGTGCCAAGTCTAGGTCCAAAAGACTTCTCAACAGCTTCTACCCCCAAGCCATAAGGCTCCTGAACAGCTAATCATGGCTACCCGGACTATTTGCACTGCCCCCCCACCCCATCCTTTTTACGCTGCTGCTACTCTGTTAATTATTTATGCATAGTCACTTTAACTCTACCACATGTACATATTACCTCAACTACCTCAACTAGCCGGTGCCCCCGCACATTGACTCTGCAACGGTACCCCCCTGTATATATAGCCTCCCTACTGTCACTTTATTTTACTTCTGCTCTTTTTTTTCTCAACACTTTTTTTGTTAAAAATAAATGCACTGTTGGTTAAGGGCTGTAAGTAAGCATTTCACTGTAATGTCTGCACCTGTTGTATTCGGCGCATGTGACCAATACAATTTGATTTGATTTGTTGCCTGTTCAAGAGGATAAAACTTTACAGAATGTTCAAATAGAAATGGATTGTATAGATGACTGACACAATTCCTTTTTTTATTGTACAAGACAAACGAAGTCTAGTCATTACTAGTAATGGCGGGGGGGAATCAATACATTAGAGTATCGCAATATTATTTTTGACAATATTATTTGTAGGTAGTTAACTTTAGCTAGCTCTCGTCAGCTGTACCTGCGCCAAAACTGGTATTTCTTCTCTAGCTTGCTATCAATCTTATTATTTTTTAAATGGTGAGCCAACATTTTCAGCACTTTTATTTCCATGACTGATCAAAACTCGCTTTTACATGGCTCTCTCTTGTTCCCCTGCAGCAGACAAGGTGAGCAAGATGTTTGGAACATCGAATCGCAATACATAGAATCGTGAGAATCGCAACATATATCGTATCAGCACCTAAGTATCGTGATATTGTATTATGAGGTCCCTGGCAAGTCCCAGCCCTATTCATTACATTTCTATACAACCCAGCAGCCAGTGAGAGAGAGGGGACAACAATGGGAACCTCTGCTGACTCTGACAGAATCAGGGCACTGAGGGCAGTGTAACAGTGTTTCCCAACTCCAGTCCTCCAGTACCCCCAACAGCACGCATTTTTGTTATAGCCCCGGACAAAAAAGCCTGATTCAACTTGTCAAGGGCTTGATATTTAGTTGACAAGTAGAATCAGGTGTGCTTGTCCGGGGCCACAACAAAAAGATGTACTGTTGGGGGTACTCGAGGACCGGAGATGGGAATCACTGCACTCGGAAACATCCTAGCAAAACAATTTTTCTTCCATTTCATGCCTACTGAACACAACCCAGAGAGAACAGACAACAATGAGAACCTCGGCTACTGATTCTGACAAGCTATGCTTCATTAATTAGTATTACCAGCTAATTAAGCACATACACTGGAGGCAATTACACCGGCTTAACAATGATTTAATACATCTGCACAATTAGGGAAGGGTGGAGACGATCGGAGAAAGAACAACCAGTAATGTACCGAGGTATGGGATGAAAACGTCCAATTATTTCTCTAGGGCACTTTTAACTACAGTCATTTAGGCCTATATATTCACTTTCTTGTCTTTCTTGTATCCTTAACACTCCAGAGTTCTATTAAGTACTTTTTTGTCAGAAGACAATGACAGTTTGACCACAGAAGATCACTTGCCTTTCTGAGGAAAATGTATGGGGCATAAGAGGGAGATTGAGAAGGTGGACCAGTGAAAATTCAGCATCAGAGCCAGGAGGGGGAGCTCTCTATGCATCTACATTCTGTTATAAAGTGAGCGAGACTGAAGGATACAAAACTGGTATGTTCTCAATTACAGTGTCGGTTGAGGTCAAACTTATCATCATGAAAGCATATTTTGTATCCTTTGTGTGTCTCCCTACCAGCTGTTAAAGCAGCCTACGTGAAAACTAACAGGCACTCTTTCTTCCCCTCAAGTATGCACACACACTCACACACACACACATACAGCCGTGAAAGGCAGACCAAGCGAGCGATGCAATGTCGGGCCTCAAAGTCAACAGGTGGATGAGGATAATTGAATCAGATGTGCCTGGAGTCTGAGGCCCAGAGATCAAAGCTGTGCCAGCCAGGCAGGTCGGGGCTAGGGGAGAGAGAGGGGAAGTGTGTGTCTTTGCTGCTGCAGCCAGTCTTATTAAAACAGCCTGACATCTATACGCTTCATCCATGACCTCCAGGTGCAGGGGCCAGAGGCCCCAGGTCTCACCCTCAGGCACCCCAAGGAAGGTAGCCCGACCCTGGGGCACAAACAAGACGTGGACCCCTTAACTCAACCACCTGGAGGCAAGGTCAACGGAGAGACTCTTGCCTTGGAGGGAAAGACCTGAGGCGGCTAAACAGGTCGTTCATGAAGGCTGTTTGATGTCTGCTGCTGCAAGGACAATGTTACTGTCACACTTGACAAGGGAGAGGGAGAGGTTAAGGGTTCTCATGTGTGGAACTCAGATGATAGACAGAAGTCAGAGTGAGTAAAACAGAAAGCGAAAAAACAAAAGAGAGGAGAGAGAGAGAGCAACGGAAGGGATTCACATAAGAAACATATAGGGGTTAAGAAATATGCTGCTAACCACCACCACACATTCATCCTTCCACCTTTGCCTGTTTGCTATGAGGGGCGAAAGACCAGAAATTCCCCTCATCTTTAGTAACGAACGCAACACTTCCACACATGCCGAGTCAACATGAGATTTGTGTCAAGATTCAGCTCCCCCAACACATACACACACTTCGCCTCTCTCCCCCTTCTCTCAGAGCTCTCCAAGGCACGCCAAAGACAACAAACAATGTGTCAAGACAGTCATGGCATGTTTAAGGCCTGATCCATAAGTGACATGTGAGTACCAGGAGTCGGCACGTAGGCTACACACCAGAGCCTCTGAGGATGATCTCTTAACCTGGATCAGCTTGCTATCCCCATTCCTTTCACACAGGAACAACTAGACTTTATCAGTTGAGAACAGAGGTACAGAACCATCAGGGTTCTGCAGGTGAGTAACGCCATCCTGTGGCCAAATCTGGAACTTACTCACTCCTGTCAAATATGGTGTCTCTCTCCTAGCCAGTTTAACAGAGAGTTTCTAAACCCAGAGGTCCAACATCACGATCCATCCAAGATTTTAAGAAGGTGTTCCTAATGTTTGGTATACTCAGTGTAGAACAGGACTGCCGATATAGAACAGGATTGCTGATATAGCCTAACCTGCAAGCACCCCAAAGTTAAATGACTACTTCACTTATCAGGTTTTAGGACATGAATTACGGCTGTTTTCAGAGTTAAAAAAACACCCCATCACCTGATTAATGGCATGAGGCAGAGATCGAAAGATCAAACATCGCAAGGAGTCAAATTAGGTCCCTAGAGTCTTATCTAAATGGGAGAGTCACATTAAAGAGCCTGGGTACTAAGTCATTTTCTCCATCAGGCCTTAGCCTGTGATCTATACACTCTTTAAATGCTCTTATCCCAATCAGACACTAGTCAGACAAAAAAATCCAGCTCTTCAATACAGCCAGTGTACTTAGGCTAATTGAGGTTACCGTTAGGCATGCTTGTGTAACTGGTCGGATTTGAAACGAGGACATCTCGTACATCATGCCAACGGCTTTTCAAAATCAAACTTATGTGTATCTTTAAAGTGACTATACACATAGGGACACAAACAGAACCGCAATCAATCTACCTGAGCTGAATGGTTCTTTGGCTCAAGATGCCACTGAATTTTCCAGTGCAAGCAACTAGTCGTCCCGTTCAACACATGCTTAATAATCTTCTCCAAGAACCAGTCACCACTGTCCCAACATCAACCTTGGCCCAGATAAAAAAAAAAAAAAAAGTAGATTCAACAAAGCATTAAAGGTCTCCCCCTCCCTCCCCTCTCATTTAGTTGGGCCTTCCCACTGGGCACAGACATCATTTCAACGTCTAGTTTTGATTTACATTTGGGTGAGTTGTCAACTAACGTGAATTCAACTTGAAATCAACCAAAAATGTAACCATGTCATTGGATTTAGGCTAAAAGTTGGGTGAAAAGAAGACTAAATTCCCTTACGTTGATGACTTTTTGCCAATCCAATCAGTTTTCCACATTGATTCAACGTCATCACATTGAAATTATTTTGTTGAAATTACATGGAAACAATGTTTTTGCACAGTGGGTAGTAGCCTAGTAAATAGATAGGCTATGTGCATGGCTCAACATTAACGCTTGTTGATAAGCAAGTTACTAGAGACGTTTTACTGGTAGACTGACTGAGAGGGTTCAAGGTTTCCAGACTACTTAAGAACCTAGAAACAGGGAGCCTAGGGACCATACAGTAGCCTATACAAAAAAGCAAGTGTCCACTGTCCATATCTGATTGCACTGTCATGAGATATTCTGTCAAGCTGCTGAAAACAATACAGATTTGCGCAAAAAGAGCACAACCATGTTGATGATGTTTTGTGCAAATTCAACGAAATAGCTACATCTACGCAACGGGACTACGTTAATTTAAAAAACTGTTAAATGTAACTAAATGTAACCAACATAATCCCCAAAAGTAATTATTTATCATGAGGGCCATACACAATAACTAGTAATGCTGCATACTCCAAGAAAGGTTAAAATCTCACCTTTCTGGAAAAAAGCTATAAATTGCTGAGGTGTAGTCACTTTTGAGGACACAAGCTAAGTACACAGTACAAATATGATAAAAATATGAAATATGTTATATGATGTATTTCCTATTCAACAAACCTGTATGAATAAGGCTTGAAATGACTTATATCCTTTCTAAATATAGTATAATCAAATTATAAAATGACTAAATATAAGATTTCACCTTCCTTATAACTGTAAAATACATATTTGTATGTTTAGTGTTAGAGAAAATATGTATATTTCCTAAAGGTCTCTCTTAAGCAAAACGTCTGCCCCCATCGCTGTGAATGTCTCAGAGCTTTAGCTTGGCTTCCTGAACTCGTTAGGAACTCACCTTTCATCTCATATTAATCTTGTCCCTCTATGACAAACAGGAAGTGTTGTTTGTTTAAAATCTATTAATTATTTTTTGATTAATGGCTATCGAAATGATCTCTCCTACAGCGCTACAATGTAAGGATTGCAGGCATGTGCTTTGTCAGTGGCTGTGACTTAGGGTTCAGCCAGGAGTTGCTGGACAGTTGGAAGAGCCAATAAAATGGCAGGAGGGCCATCCCAGCTTCAAGTGGTTTCAGATTTCACATCCTACGTCACACTCACACACACACACACAAAATATACTACTGTGCCCCTGTGAACAAGGGCTATCGCTCAGTGCAATGCGGTTTATAACATACAGTCAGATTTAACAGGTGAACAGAGAGTTTATCTTTTACATTGAAGTATGTATACAACTACTGTAAGTAGCCTATTATATAAAAATGAAATAAAAAACATGTTGAGTAGCATAGACAATGTTTCAGAATTCGAGGGCAGTCCAGCATATTTAGGTTGGGGAAAAAGTCAATGCAGAACCACGCAGGTTTAGGGGACTTTACATCGAAGAGGTTTTTAAGTAAGAGGAAATAACTAGGAAACTACGTTGACTCAACCACTTTTGCCCAAAGGGTGAGGTGGTCTATTCCAGATTAAACACCTGTGTGTGTGTGTTTGAATTCAGCAGACTTCTACTGTAGCTAGCATGCATACCAGTTGAGTATGTAGCTTAAGCGCTAGTTTATGCAGGGCAATAACCTACCTGTGTGTGTTAGAGTAGGCTGTGGGTGAGGAGCTGGCCCTCTCTCTGAGCTGGCTGTCCCAGGAGTCGTCACCCTGGCCCAGCTCTCCTGTTACCCAGTCAGGCAGGACTGCAGTGCTCTGATCCAGGCCCCGGCCACATAGAGGCTCATCAAAGTAGATGGACTGGCAATGAGAAAAGGTGCAGAGCTGAGTTTAGCCACCTAAAACAGTAAAAAAAACGTATAACATACAGGGCCTACAAAGTACTATAAAATGGCATACCATGAATTAAACAAACAAACATAAACAGCATGGGCAGCCTACTAGCAATATAGAGCAGAAATTATACTTCTGGAATTTATAGTACCTTACATCATCATTGCTCTTTAGTACTATATATAGGATTGTTTTACCATATATGTTGGTAGAGTCCTGAGACTGCCTGACTCTGGCTTGTGGCTGAAAGGGCCCTCCAGGACCCCTCTTCTGAGCATATGCAGGAGAAGGCGGGAGTACATGTTGCGGTTCTTGCGTCCCATCAGGCCCGAGCCGGATACAGCTGGGTCACACAGCTTCTTGATCCACAGGGCACATCGCTGGCGCTCTACGGTCAAATAGGGAGCAAGAAATTACAATCAATGCATTACTAACTATTAACACATAAGACAATTACAATTTATAGAACACTTGCTTTTTAGTTATACAACTCATTTTACTGTAGACCTGTCTTGTGGTGGAGTTTTAGGACATATGGTTTCATGTCAACCAGGTGATGGTCAAACTCTGAGTCCAGTTTCTCCCACGTCTCCTCTTGTTTGTTCATAATGTCCTGCACATTGGGAATAACACACATTTTAAGTGTTACTTTCGACTGCTTACCTTTTCAACGTTATGCGCATGTGCATCACAAAAACCTCGCGCAGAAAGTTATCAAAATAGAGGTTTCAATACAAATTTGGCAACTCTTTGCTGTTACTGTCATCAAATCGGCAACCCTGCATAGAACTAACTTTGGAAGAGTTAGCTACACAGACTCAGTGAGCCACCAGCTCAGCTGGCTAATAACTGCATCTAGGCAACTGAACCGTCGCTAGACCCTATGACTTGCAAAGAGAAAGTGAGGACGGCATATCTATCCTACCATCTAGCTCTCACAACTGAATATGATATAGCTAGTTTGCCAATAAATGTGCAGCTATCGATAAAGCTAGCTAGACAATAACTGCAAATTATTTGTTAGCTAGCAATCTGGCTAGCATCAGTTCTGTACTGTTAGAGTCAGCAGCACTTCAAAACGACAAAAACTGGCCGCGCGCTTAGCATTCACTGCTAATTTGTGTTAATTTTAGTCGCAAGTTAGATAATTACGATATATTACACTTCAAACTAACATTATGCGATAATACTGGAAAAAGTTGAGTTATTAGCTTGTTATTACCAGCTTTTGCAGATCCAAACGGTTCAAACTTCTGCTTCACAGACTGCGTCTTACGTCACATCCTTTTTCCGTAAACAGAAAACGGGAGCGTCCTTGTTGTCATAGAAATTGTCAATCAAAGATGACGTGGCAACAAGTGCTCGTGCTATCGTTTCCAAAATGATACCCTTTCTGTGCATTTGCAACATGTTGCATTGAGTATAGAGTTAAATAGTTTTACAAAAGGATGTGATGCAGACCTGGGTTCAAATCATTACTATGCATTTGTACACAGGTCTGTTTGGTTCTAGGTAAAAAATGAAATAATTGGAAACAAGTAGCTGAGTCTAGGCCCATTTGTACAACTCTATGTAAATAGTTTCAAATAGGTCTATTTCCAGGATTTTTCCCTTTGTTTATACTTTCAAATACCTATAAGTTGTTAGATTCGACCACATTATTTTTAAATACTCAAAGACAAAGAAAATAAGTACTTAAATACAAATGCATATTTTTTATTTATTTTTATATTTAACCTTTATTTAACCAGGTAAGCCAGTTGAGAACAAGTTCTCATTTACAACTGCGACCTGGCCAAGATAAAGCAAAGCAGTGCGATAAAAACAACATCACAGAGTTACATATGAGGTAAACAAAACATAAAGTCAAAAATACAAACAGAAAATATATATACAGTGTGTGCGAATATAGTAAGTTATGGAGGTAAGACAATAAATAGGCCAGAGTGCAAAATAGTTACAATTTCGTATAAACACTCGAATGATAGATGTGCAAAAGATGATGTGCAAATAGAGATACTGGGGTGCAAATTAGCAAAATAAATAACAATATGGGGATGAGGTAGTTGGGTGGGCTAATTTCAGAATGGCTCTGTACAGGTGCAGTGATCGGTAAGCTGCTCTGACAACTGATGCTTAAAGTTAGTGATGGAGATAAGAGTCTCCAGCTTCAGAGATTTTTGCAGTTCGTTCCAGTCATTGGCAGCAGACTGGAACGAACTGCAGTGGCGCAGTGGTCTAAGGCACTGCATCACCATGCTAGCTGTGCCACTAGAGATCCTGGTTCGAATCCAGGCTCTGTCGTAGCCGGCCGTGACCGGGAGACCCATGGGTGGCGCACAATTGGCCCAGCGTCGTCCAGGGTAGGGGAGGGAATGGCCGGCAGGGATGTAGCTCAGTTGGTAGAGCATGGCGTTTGCAACGCCAGGGTTGTGGGTTCGATTCCCACGGGGGGCCAGTATAAAATAAAAAAATAAACAAAATAAAAAATAATGTATGCACTCACTAACTGTAAGTCGCTCTGGATAAGAGCGTCTGCTAAATGACTAAAATGTAAATGTAAATGTAACTGGAAGGAATGGCGGCCAAAGAAGGTGTTGGCTTTGGGGATGACCAGTGAGATATACCTGTTGGAGTGCAGACTACGGGTGGGTGTTGCTATGGTGACCAGTGAGCTAAGGTAAGACTGGGATTTGCCTAGCAGTGATTTATAGATGACCTGGAGCCAGTGGGTTTGGCGACGATTATGTAGTGAGGGCCAGCCAACAAGAGCGTACAGGTCACAATGGTGGGTAGTATATGGGGCTTTGGTGACAAAACGGATGGCACTGTGATAGACTATATCCAATTTGCTGAGTAGAGTGTTGGAGGCTATTTTGTAAATGACATCGCCGAAGTCAAGGATCAGTAGGATAGTCAGTTTTACGAGGGCATGTTTGGCAGCATGAGTGAAGGAGGCTTTGTTGCGAAATAGGAAGCTGATTCTAGATCTAACTTTTGATTGGAGATGCTTAATGTGAGTCTGGAAGGAGAGTTTACAGTCTAACCAGACACCTAGGTATTTGTAGTTGTCCACATACTCTAGGTCAGACCCGCCGAGAGTAGTGATTCTAGTCGGGTGGGCGGGTGCAAGCAGCATTCGGTTGAAGAGCATGCATTTAGTTTTACTAGTGTTTAAGAGCAGTTGGAGGCTACGGAAGGAGTGTTGTATGGCGTTGAAGCTCGTTTGGAGGTTTGTTAACACAGTGTCCAATGAAGGGCCAGATGTATACAAAATGGTGTCGTCCGCATAGAGGTGGATCCGAGCTTCACCAGCAGCAAGAGCAACATCATTGATATACACAGAGAATAGAGTCAGCCCGAGAATTGAACCCTGTGGCACCCCCATAGAGACGGCCAGAGGTCCAGACAACAGGCCCACCGATTTGACACATTGAACTCTATCTGAGAAGTAGTTGGTGAACCAGGTGAGGCAATCATTAGAGAAACCAAGGCTATTTAGTCTGCCAATAAGAATGCGGTGGTTGACAGAGTCGAAAGCCTTGGCCAGGTCGATGAAGACGGCTGCGCAGTACTGTCTTTTATCAATCGCGGTTATAATATCGTTTAGAACCTTGAGCGTGGCTGAGGTGCACCCATGACCAGCTCGGAAACCGGATTGCATAGCGGAGAAGGTACGGTGGGATTCGAAATGGTCGGTGATCTGTTTGTTAACTTGGCTTTCAAATACTTTCGAAAGGCAGGGCAGGATGGATATAGGTCTGTAACAGTTTGGATCTAGAGTGTCACCCCCTTTGAAGAGGGGGATGACCGCGGCAGCTTTCCAATCTCTGGGGATCTCAGACGTTACGAAAGAGAGGTTGAACAGGCTAGAAATAGGGGTTGCAACAATTTTGGCGGCTAATTTTAGAAAGAAAGGGTCCAGATTGTCTAGCCCAGCTGATTTGTAGGGGTCCAGATTTTTCAGCTCTTTCAGAACATCAGCTGTCTGAATTTGTGTGAAGGAGAAGCTGGAGGGGCATGGGCAAGTTGCAGCGGAGGGTGCAGAGCTGGTGGCCGGGGTAGTGGTAGCCAGGTGGAAAGCATTGTCAGCCGTAGCAAAATGCTTGTTGAAATTCTCGATTATTGTAGATTTATCGGTGGTGACAGTGTTTCCTAGCCTCAGTGCAGTGGGCAGTTGGGAGGAGGTGCTCTTATTTTCCATGGACTTTACAGTGTCCCAAAACTTTTTAGAGTTAGTGCTACAGGATGCAAATTTCTATTTGAAAAAGCTAGCCTTTGCTTTCCTTACTGATTGTGTATATTGGTATCTGACTTCCCTGAAAAGTTGCATATCGCGGGAGCTGTTCGATGCTAATGCAGTACGCCACAGGATGTTTTTGTGCTGGTCAAGGGCAGTCAAGTCTGAGGAGAACCAGGGCTATTTCTGTTCTTAGTTCTGAATTTTTTGAATGGGGCATGCTTATTTAAGATTGAGAGGAAAGCACTTTTAAAGAACAACCAGCCATCCTCTACTGACGGAATGAGGTCAACATCCATCCAGGATACCCGGGCCAGGTCAATTAGAAAGGCCTGCTCGCTAAAGTGTTTTAGGGAGCGTTTGACAGTGATGAGGGGTGGTCGTTTGACCGCGGACCCATTACGGACGCAGGCAATAAGGCAGTGATCGCTGAGATCCTGGTTGAAGACAGCGGAGGTGTATTTAGAGGGTCAATTTGTCAGGATGATATCTATGAGGGTGCCCATGTTTACAGATTTAGGGTTATACCTGGTTGGTTCGTTGATAATTTGTGTCAGATTGAGGGCATCTAGTTTAGATTGTAGGTTGGCCGGGGTGTTAAGCATATCCCAGTTTAGGTCACCAAGCAGTACGAACTCTGAGGATAGATGGGGGGCAATCAATTCACATATGGTGTCCAGGGCACAGCTCGGGGCTGAGGGGGGTCTGTAGCAAGCGGCAACAGTGAGAGACTTATTTCTGGAAAGGTGGATTTTTTTTTTTTACCAGTCAGATGTTTGGACACACCTACTCATTCAAGAGGTTTTCTTTATTTTTTTACTGTTTTTTACATTGTAGAATAATAGTGAAGACATCAAAATGATGAAATAACACATATGGAATCATGTAGTAAACAAAAAAGTGTTAAACAAATATTGTATATAGCCACACTTTGCTTTGATGACAGCTTTGCACACTCTTGGCATTCTCTCAACCAGCTTCACCTGGAATGCTTTTCCAACAGTCTTGAAGGAGTTCCCACATATGCTGAGCACTTGTTGGTTGCTTTTCCTTCAATCTGCCATCCGACTCATCCCAAACCATTTCAATTGGGTTGAGGTCGGGGGATTGTGGAGGCCAGGTCATTTACATTTAAGTCATTTAGCAGACGCTCTTATCCAGAGCGACTTACAAATTGGTGCATTCAACTTAGGATAGCCAGTGGGACAACCACCACTGGGGTAGGGGGGGGGTAGAAGGATTACTGTTATACTATTCCAGGTATTCCTTAAAGAGGTAGGGTTTCAAGTGTCTCCGGAAGGTGGTCAGTGACTCCGCTGTCCTGGCGTCGTGGGGGAGCTTGTTCCACCATTGGAGTGCCAGAGCAGCGAATAGCTTTGACTGGGTTGAGCGGGAACTGTGCTTCCGTAGAGGTAGGGGGCTAGCAGGCCAGAGGTGGATGAACGTAGTGCCCTCGTTTGGGTGTAGGGTCTGATCAGAGCCTGAAGGTAAGGAGGTGCCGTTCCCCTCACAGCTCCGTAGGCAAGGTCATCTGATGCAGCACTCCATCACTCTCCTTCTTGGTAAAATAGCCCTTACACAGCCTGGAGGTGTGTTGGGTCATTGTCCTGTTGAAAAACAAATGATAGTCCCACAAAGCCCAAACCAGATGGGATGGCGTATCGCTATAGAATGCTATGGTAGCCATGCTGGTTAAGTGTGCCTTGAATTCTAAATAAATCACAGACAGTGTCACCAGCAAAGCACCTTCACAACATAACATCTCCTCCTCCATGCTTTACGGTGGGAACTACACATGCGGAGATCATCTGTCCATCCACACCGCGTCTCACAAAGACACAGTGGGTTTGAACCAGAAATCTCAAATTTGGACACATTTCCACCGGTCTAATGTCCATTGTTCGTGTTTCTTTGCCCAAGCAGGTCTCTTCTTTTTATTAGTGTCCATTAGTAGTGGTTTCTTTGCAGCAATTTGACCATGAAGGCCTGATTCACACAGTGCCCTTTGAACAGTTGATGTTGAGATGTGTCTGTTACTTGAAGTCTGTGAAGCATTTATTTGGGCTGCAATTTCTGAGGCTGGTAACTCTAATGAACTTATCGTCTGCAGCAGAGGTAACTCTGGGTCTTCCATCCTGTGGCGGTCCTCATGAGAGCCAGTTTCATCATAGCGCTTGATGGTTTTTGCGACTGCACTTGAAGAAACTTCCAAAGTTATTGAAATCTTCCGTATTGACTTACCTTCATGTCTTAAAGTAATGATGGACTGTTGTTTCTCTTTGCTTATTTGAGTGGTTCTTGCCATAATATGGACTTGGTCTTTTACCAAATAGGGCTATCTTCTGTATACCCTTGAATGAGTAGGTGTGTCCAAACTTTTGACTGGTACTGTAGGCCTATTTGAACCAGGTATGTTGTGATGAAGGCCTAGCCCTATACATAGTAAGCCAAATTCAGATGAATAACAAATAATTACATTTGAATATTGTCTTTTTTTATTTCTAAATGGAAATGTTTAGGCCCATTATCAATATCATGAATTTGCCGTACTATTTATAGGGCTAGCTGTAATGTTGGTTTGCGAAAGTGATTGAACGTGATTTTTCAGCGAGCAATGACATTCTTTAAAGGGCATACCAACATTATCATGCAAATCACAGTAGAAATTCATTAGTGTCGTTCAACAAAATGAGTTTATTTAGCATCCCTTTGATATTTTAAGTAGAAATTGTGCACCAATATTGAATTTTAAAAGCCTGTTATATTCAATGAAGTGCCCTTTAATATAGACCACATGGAGAATTCGATCAATCAGATTTTTTATATGAATAAAGACTTGCTAAAGTGCCAAATTCAGGATTTTGACCTGTCCCTCTGTGACTTCCAGGAAGATTTTAACACACGTAACCTCAACATTTCTCCAAGTTTTCACCATCATTGTAAAGCCCTAGTTATTTTGTTGCTTTGATAAAGTCATTCCTAAAGATTAAATAAATAATAATGTGGTTAGTGATTCATTTTAAGGTAAAAAAAACAAAAACAAAAAAAACTGTCCCTCATTTTAAGGTCAACCCTGTTATGTGAACTGAACTCTCGTTTTAATATGGTGAAACTATTCCTTTTTAAATATTTTTTTCAAAATAAGCATTTAACATCTAATAATCAAATAATAGTGTAAAAGCAGGTGGGCTGGTCCTACTCTTTTTGGCAATTTTCTGGTGTTTTGTGGTGTAAAACTGAGTGGGTTGAGAACATGTCAACCCTTTAACCCATAGATAGATAGGCTAGAAACGTTTTAACAATTTCATTTTCTTGTGTGAAGCTTGCATTCAATTGCCCCTCCCTCTTGCACACAACAAGCTTCCATTCCCCCTTTCACAAGAGGATTCATGGCTGATTTAAGATGAAATCGTCAACCCTGTTATTTTTTTATTCAACCTCTTGAGATGGGAAAACGTTTTTTTTTATTGAACATGTGCTCTTTATGACATAATGTTACAATGAGGTGAAATCCAAATTTTTTTTTTTTCACCAAATTGCACACCTCAAAAGGCACCGAATTGGTGGGACGACCCAGAAATCTATATGGTGAGGCAAAGTCACGCACTCTGTTCACGATTAAAATAAAGAAAGTGGTCTGTGCAACAGAGGTAGATTTAGGAAACAAAGGTTGAACTGGGATTGTCCCAGGTAGAAACATATTTGTTACCAAAAATGATATAGGTTTAGCTAGATGATGAGCATGGAATATGAGTAGCCTAAACACAGATTATTTTCTGAGAATAGCGTATCGCTGTAATAATACACTTCATCCACATGATGGCGTTGCTAACTTCCAATTTCGAACAGCTGTTGTTCAACACTGGATATCATATTATTGACGTCACTTAGAATGAAAAAGAAGCGCTCAGCTGTGGCTCTAGCAAAAGGGAAATCCGCTGTCCAGTGGCTATTTCGCAGTTGCGGTAGCCTATAGTATTTTAGTGATCGTATTGAAATACAATTGAAGATACTTTGGAATAAAACTGAACCGTACGACCGTGTAGCCTACTTTTTCTGCAATGGCTGATCATCATCTTTTACATTATTGCGACTCAGCTGCGGTTGGGAACCGTTTCGCCCGCAAAGGTGCTCTGCGGCAGAAAAACGTGCATGAAGTCAAAAATCACAAATTTACTGCCAGGTTTTTCAAGCAACCGACATTCTGCAGTCATTGCACAGACTTCATATGGTAAGCATCAATGCTCTTGTGCACCCGTCATTGTGTGAAAGGGGAGAGGAAAAGTTGGTGCGCTCTCATTGCGCTCGTGTTAGTGTATTTTCTTGTTTACCCTATTTGTTGTTTTGTATAATGCAAAATAGGTCTGCCTTATGTAAAGTGTACAATAGTTTTGACAGAGGCACTGCTATTAGACTCATTATTAGCCTATTAGGCGCTTATCCTCGCAAAAATGTATACTTTGTTAATTCAAATTACACCTTATGTTATCAACTTAATTGGATGTAGTAGTTATGAATGTTCAATAAATTCCATTTGATGCAAACAGTAAATAATTTCACAGGCGCGATTCTCGTTAAATCATATGGCGCTCGCACTTCACCTTACAAAAACACCCTTCTGCGCGCTGATTGGCAACTAGAACTCAGTGCTCCCGAATTGGGTATGGATCTGATGCTAATGTGCCAATTGTTTACCGACCAGGCCATACTAAACTCTCCCCATAAAGCCTATGTCTCTGATGATTGAGGGGGTGTATCAGATATTGTTGTTTATTTTGCACTCGCATTCAGTAAGCTATTGAATTGATCTTTCCCTTCTTTTGAAGTCTAATTTCCCTCCTCCCCACATCTTTCCATGCTCATGTCTTATAGCCTGGACACATCCGTAAACTCTCCATCCATTGTACGTCCACCACACATCTTGCCATGCTCAGGTCTTATAGCCTGGAGACGTCTAAACTCTCCATCTATTGTACATGAATACAATCAAATGATACAGCAGTAACCATACTGCTAGCTCTGGTCCAGGGCTTTACTAGCAGAGGAAAGTGCACTAATGCCCTGGACCACAGCTACCCCACTGGGCACAGATGTCAGTTTACATTTGGTTGAGCTGTCAACTAATGTGAATTCAGTGTAAAATCAAAACGTTTCACGTCATTGGATTTAGCTTAAAAGTTGGGTTAATTAAAAAAATACTAAATGCCCTTAAGTTGACTTTTTGCAAATCCAAATTGATTCAACCTCGTCACATTGATTTGTGTTGAAATGATGTGGAAAATGTTGATTCAACCAGTTTTTGCCCAGTGGGACCCTAATGTATGACTTGAAGGAGCATCATTAGAAGGACAGGTAAGAACACCATCTGTCCTGCTGTCACTGACTGCTCCTTCTCACTGCTTTTCACAGGGGATTTGGGAAACAAGGATTCCAGTGCCAAGGTAACCCAACAGTGTGCTGCCTGTGTGTGTGTATATGTTTATGCTCATATTTGCATGTGTACAGTCAATTACATGTAGACACTCATGTTCACTTTGCATTAAGATATCACATTTCCATAAACATGATGCACTTCCTATAGTTGCGTACTTAGTTTTGTCAGGAGTCATTCTGTGAAAATAGTTCTAGTATCTGCAGTTGGTCACTAATATTTATACCAATGTACATGCTTGGATGTTGAACCTTCCACAAGCCAGTTTGGTAGATGTACGTCAAATCTATTAGCGATTTACTACAAGTGAAGATGCCAGCTGCTTGTTCCTCTGTGGTTACTGTACATCTCAAAGCTCTGCTCAGAGTGCAGCAATGACCGTTATTCATTCAAGAGCAAGGACAGACCGTCAACGTGAAGGCTTCTGAATGTGCCAGCACCAAAGTGCTTCCCACAGACAACTGCTTTGACAGGTTTTATGTACTGTAGTCGGAAGTTGTGTAGTAGGGCTCATTTAGTGCGTTGAAAACTGTTCCGTCCAGACAGTGACGTGATGACTGGCTATAGTCGCTGGCTGGAGACTTGACTGCTCTTACATGCAGTGTCCGTTCTCCTGAAAAGAGCAAACCCATTCTATCATAATTATATTCTCATTAGTGTTCAGACAAGATGCTGTTTCTTTCTTACAGCTTGTTGATAAATCAGGTCATTATTCGTTCTTCCCTTTGGCTTCCTCAGTAACTATTGGTACCCATCAAAAAACTTGGATGGGGCCAGTGTCCCCAAATTTACTCCAAAAGTGCAGCATGGCCACTTTTCAGGCTTTTCCCAATTGTGGCATTTGCTAACATGTCCTCCACAGAAAAGTAAAACTACAGTACACTGTGCCTCCTTTGGTGAACTTTCACATTCTGTTTGATGAATTAATAAACGTACATGCAGAGCCACTTAATCTGGCTAAATACCAATGGTATCAGTTCTCTATTCACAGCTGGAGGCCTTGGATTAATCACTTCTAGGCTGGTTGGAAAAGTTAGTGAAGGATTTACAGCAATACCCAAGTTCCCAGTATCTGAAATGTAATTGTGTGTTTGAATCTCTTGGAGTGTCAGATTATAACTATGTAGAAGGGTAAAGGAAACCAGACTTTATGATAGAACCTAAGTAATATCAAATCTACATTCCCCCAAATTACAAGATTACCATTGAATTCAAAACAGCAAAATATAATTACATTCAAAACGTTTATTGTACATTCGCGCGTCACCAAGGGGGATGAGCGTCATGTAGAACCTATAGGATGTAGAAAAACATTAGTACTAAGTAATCACAGCACACCACATTTGGAATGCCATACAAATTGACACTTACCTTATAGCCCATCCTTCATGCACCAATTGCCAAGGTCTGTGGGGAGAAAAATTGAAGTGTCAGTCATCCAAATTAGACTACTGTACACATGTAGTTGTAGCAGTACATTACCTGAGGATAGGATACCGCACTCCTTTGGATCTAGCACTTGGTCCGAGGAGAGGCTGTTAGGCACAGGTTTCTGATGTCATGGGATACAACACTAACAGAGGGCTGGGCTGTCTCTCCTGGGGAGTAGCGGGTGTTGAAGACCACTGCCTCGTTCATAGTTGTTATCATTCTGAAAAATAAAGCTGGATGGAGGTAGAACAGGATCATGGAAGCTGGGGGGGCAAACACTCTGCTTGATCCATGGGACCGGTTCTTGCTGCTCAGCGGCAACTGCGTTTCCTTTACCTTGCTGGTCGCCAGTGGATTCTGGAGATTGGGTGGATGTGTCTGGTATGAAGTCCTCTGGGCTGCCACACATAGGTGGTCCAACATTCTGAGAGGCCTTTGGAACCCATAACCAATACCCGTGGGTTGCCGTTCACAGGTCGTTCCATCTCAGGAACACTGGGTCTTGAGGTCTTCTCTGGGAGCGTCTGGCTGCTAGGGACTGAAGGATAATAATTTGTTATTGTGACCTGATTAATAAATGTTAATGGCATTATTCCAACTGAAAATGTAATCGTATATCAATCTGATTATAATTCATTACAATTGTGATATGATACAGTACACATGCTTCACTCCTACCCGTCTCACTACACATGGGATGGGGAGAGCCTGGAGGAGTGGAAAGACGATATCTGTCCCTTGGCAGTAGCACACCAGCAGTATCCTATAGAGCCATATCACTGCTTAGGGGTGTACAGGCCCTCCTTGTTACACTGGGGTACATAGGCTCCAGGAATATTGGGGGTATTGGCTCTAGCCTGCTCACACAGGGTCAGGGCTGGAAATACAGTTTAGACATTCAGCTTCAGGTAGCTCAGTAAGTTAGCTTGTTGAAAATAATAACTACAAATCATTTAACATTCTCATTACATGAGCTGATAACACATTTAGATGTATACAGTCATAACTCCAACTGATAATGTCATAGTAACTCAATATCACCATTTGTTAAATACTTTAAGTGACAGTGTTAGCAATAGCCAAAAATGACAGGAAATGTAGCATATGGAGTTATATCAGTGCCACCAGAAATTGAATTTTATCATTGGTTTTGTATTCAGAACTTGAAATTCAATATTTGAATGTGTAGTGCACAAATGTAATTTATACATTGAAAATGAATTTCAATTATTTGAAACTGAATCAAATGAATATTGCATAGTTTTAAAACTCAATATGCAAAAATGCCATGCCCAAATGCCAACGCAATTCAAGAACGACCCCAAACAGCAAATTTGTGGGCGTTAAAATCTCGGCGTAGAGGTAAGCGTTAAACCAGTGTTGATTCTAGGGGGGTTAACACCAGTAGGATTGAAATTGACACCTGCAGTGACTAAATGCAGTGCTATTTGAGTCAGTTGAAGCAACAGTGTTGTTAATTTCCATTAACCCGCAGTGAAAAACATTATCATATTTCCCAGCATGCTTTGTTGCAGGTTGCTTTTTAGAATAGTTTATTTCAATATCTATGTTTCTGCATGCACATTGATTACTCTTATATTACAAAGAAAACACATTTTTCTACACTAACCCAAATCTAAGTGGTTGGACTCAATAACTGCATCAGTTATTGAGTGGGTTCCAGTTTAGATAGATAAATGAGACTTCGCTACCTTGGCAGGGCTGGCTCTATGGGGTGGATAAGCTGGGCATGGACCCCCAGATAGAATGTGCCCTTCCCCAGTTGTTGCCCCATAAAATGTTATGAATTACAATGGCCGGTTTTGCCAATGTAGCGCCGCAATGCCTGCCAGTAGCACAGACGGGACAGAGGCTAAATGCTCATGATCTGAGGGGGGGATGTAATATATTTAGTTAAAATTCAAAAATGCATTCTGATTGGGCACTTAGCCATGCAATGTCATTAAGGTACTGCATTATTTAGGAAGCTAATTTTACCCCGCGCTGGGTGGGATCCAATGGACTGTCACAGAGAGCGATGCCGAGCAGCCTGCTGGCCCAACCACCGAGGTTGAGAGCCTAGAAGCAAATGTAATACCGGCCCATCCTCCATGCTGCCCAACAAGAGTTAGAGCCAGGGCCTAGCACCATGAGGGTACCGCCACAACAAGCACCTGTTAGCCCAGCCACTATCACCATGAGGGTACCGCCACAACAAGCACCTGTTAGCCCAGCCACTAGCACCATGAGGGAACCGCCACAACAACATTTAAGTCATTTAGCAGACGCTCTTATCCAGAGCGACTTACAGGAGCAATTAGGGTTAAGTGCCTTGCTCAAGGGCACATCTACAGATTTTTCACCTAGTCGTCTCGGGGATTAGAACCAGCGACCTTTCAGTTACTGGCACAACGTTCTTAACCACTAAGCTACCTGCCGCCCCAACAAGCACCTGTTAGCCCAGCCGCTAGCACCTGACAACCTGTTGGATCAAACCAAAACTCAACCAGTGGAAGAGTTTGTGGCTTGCACGTTCTTGCAAAGTGAAATTGCAACCACTGCCAGTGGACCCCACTCAGTTCTTCAAGATATGGCGGGCCTTTGTTCACAATGCCGATTGCAGTTGGCACTGAAACATTAGGGACGTCACAGCAATGTGCAAAAATTCTCCACCCTAAAGAAAGTATTCAGTGAACAGAGCGCATCTTGAGCTACCAGTCTTCGTGAGGCTCCTCTTCAACATTGTGTGCAAAATGACAGTTGTGTATATGGCTGCATTTCAGATAGGCCAGAGAAACTGGAATAATAAAATAGACTCCAAAGTAGCAGTTTAAACGCTATAAAGATATCCTACAGCAGGGTTTCTTAAACTATGGGTCGGGACCCAAAGTGGGCCCTGGGCATGTCAAAGGTAGGGCATGACAATACATCTATAGTCACACTATTCTTACATTTGGGTCATGGGAGGACAGGAAACTTCTCATTTTCTCAACAAAAGTTTAAGAACCCTGGCCTAGGGGACAAAAATAAGGCTGAAGATTAAAAATCATAGTACATTGGGTCAAATCAAAGTAGTGTGACATTTTCAAAATAAAATTAGATAAGTCATAGTATTGTGTTAAGTCTAAACAAATTTTAAATGATCAAAAGAGCAGAAAAAACAAACATCTTACCATTTTGGGCAGGAAAACTAGTGCTGCCTACAAACATCACAAAACAGAGCCAAAAGACACTGAAAAGCAATGATTAGTAAAGGGCCAGCACACCTTCAATAATACAACTTATTGAAGATAACCCATTTCTTGCCTTAAAGGGTGTCCAAGAGCCATAGCGATCAGATCAGCAGCCCAATTGTGATATTTTTCCACTAATTGGTCTTTTGACCAATTACATTAGATCTTTTCACATCAGATATTTTTTGAGATAAAAAAAAGATCAGAAATGGGCTGCCAGTGTAAAGCATAGAGGGATAGACAGGGAAAGCTTGTAGTAAGGACAATCATCAATATTATAGTAGCCCAAGTTGAGATAAGCTTGATTTGGGATGAGATTACCACATTTTGTCAACATGCTTATTG